TGGAATCGCGCGTCAACCACGAGTACATTCTGACATAGCTCGAGTCTGCTATTCGAGTTTCTGAAGGATTCCGGCAAGCTGGACGTGGTTTTACGTCCGTGCCGTTGATTATGAAGCAGTAAGGCAGCGATGACACCTGCGAGCCAGCGGTGGAACTGCTCAGCCGGCTACCTAAAAAAACTACGAGGTGCCGAATGCGCTTCTGTTGTATGCCAAGGGGATGGTTTGGAAGGGTTAAGGATCGAGTTTAGGTCTTTAAAATGTATATTGTTTGGTGAATAAAATAAAACTTTCTTTTTTTTTTAAAGAATGCATATCACCTAAATTGTTTACGAATGCACAATGGGGCATCATAATATTTATTGAAAGAATCCGGATTATTTTAACAGGGTGAGCGACCAGTGGTTCCATAGATCGCTCATCCGAGGAGGAAGTTCCCTGATTTGTATGACGCTGTATCTGGCATGGACCCATGTGAACTGTGATTACCGGAAACGTCAAGCAAGTGTTGATTGCAAAAGTTGATGATCCTGAGGGTGACCTACTTATTGCTGTTGTTGATGAATTGGAAGTACTGGCTGCAGGAGAGATCTGAGCAAAGTATATGTTTATATTCCAATCCGATCGTCTGATCGTCTAGTCTGATAGATTTGTTAATTTCATGTTCTTCGCTTCAGGGAAGATCAACAACTGTCCACAAACTGCAAAACCTTAGCAACTATTGGAAAAACATCAGGAAAAAACAGTGAAGCCGTTTATTATATGCTGTGTCATACTTGTCAAAGTGTGCCCTAACGTGCCGTGATGTGTTACGGCACAGTGTGCAGAGTTGAGCACCCCTAGGAGAAAGCAAATGACAGCGACCTCGCTCACTCAGCAACGTGAGTTACTCGAGGTTGTGAGCATCTTACGTTTGAGGAGTGGATTGATCGATGGAGAAGGCAAATCAACAAACCGAACGGAACGGAAAACGGTGTCTATTCCCGGTTAGGGAAAGATCGTTTGAACCTGGTTTTTCTTTCTTAGCGGTGTCTCAACCCGTTTGTCCCCAGCAGGGCAAGTAGAGATCGCATGTGAAAGCCTTGGATTCACATCGACAATTGATCGATTCTTTATTGTTAAAATTTCCTTAAATAGCCTGTTAGATGTCACACGACACTTGTGCGACATCCGAAATGTTGTATAGATTACCCTTAATCAATATGCTAGAGTGAGATGCCTGGAACGGTGGCGTGACAATGTTCTACGTATGTAATTTTGGAAGTGGATGGTTTCCATATGTTTTGCTTGGGTTAATTTATGCCGAGGATGCAATTTGAAACTGTGCATTTGGACTGTGCTATTGCATAAAGAGGAATGTGTGAAAACTGACGGTCGGGGTACCGCCGGCAAGGCCATCTTTGCATGGATTGCACTTTGCTGGTGGTCGACCTTACTTATATGAATGCTTTTTAAATACAGTATGTCACATTATTGTTAGATCGGTTACGTGGAGTCAAAACATATGACAAGGTACCTCAAAAGCAACTCTGAAATTGCTCTTGATTGGGAGCTGTGTTGCCCCTAAAAAAGCGTTAAGCGTCTTTCTGCTAAAGGCTAAGATTTATTAACTTGTTAAGAGAAGGAGCTTAACTAGACAAACTAAAAAGGGGAGGAGCTTTAACTGGGTGGACACTGATATTCTGCGGCCTTCCAACTGTCGCAGACACCAGTTCAACCCCTGTTCAGCAGCAGACGGGCCGAGACTCTTGCAAGTACCCAATCATTGAACCGAATAATATGGGATTGTCTGGTCAGATTTACTGATCTAGCTGCCTACACGTCATCATCATCTTCTGTACTACCATCGGCCCTTTTCAGGGCCACTAAGATTTTCCAGAATATTCCAAGATATCCTAAGATTGCCTAAGACCCCATAGGGCTGTCCGTTGTAGTTTTTGTACTATGTTCTACTTGAAAGTTATCCTTACAAATCCCTTAGAAAAGTCTCGTCAAAATTACTGTGCACCTTTCGGCAGAACTCTGTTTGAAATTGCCTTGAAATGCTGCACAGAATTCTGTTGTAAACTAACTTTGAATCCCACTCGGGTTCTACTCAGAACTTGGAATTCTCCTTACGTTTTGGATTTTAGAGTTCTTCAGAACTTAGTTGAAAGCAATCCTCAGATAACACTTTCCTAAACATTCATCGCCCGATATATTTCTCTGAATCTCCTTGAAATTATTCCTAGGGATCTTTGGAAATTCTAATAAATTTTATCGATTTTATTAAAGTTTATAAGCTTTGAAACGTCAATAATGCGGTCATGCTTCGAACACACCCCTTAAGACTATTTTCATCAATCTTGAAGCTCCTGCAAATTTTCTGCACTTACTTTAAAATCTCTTAAATTCCTGACGATCATCAAATTTTCAAGAAGTTCTCGGATTTTCTAATACCTTCTCTAAACGTTCATGAAGTTGTCAGAACTTGTCATACCAATTTTACCCTCATTTCCCCTATGTTAATTTTCGGTGTTAGAAAACTCAGTAAAAGATTACTGACCCCAATAGAATAATCTCTGTGTGTGTGTGCTTCTTGGGATCCGACAACGTCCCCAGAACCGTCACCAAACGAAACGCACTACCCTAACTACACGAGCCTACTGCGTTCGTCCTCTGAGCTCTGAATGACACCAGTACAAAGAACTGTACTGCCCATCCACAGCTCCCGATGTAACCCACCCCTGAAGAGCAATTGAGCATCTGTAGGGAAAGAGCGATACAGAACGATTCAAATGCGAATGACTTGGCTACTTTTCTTAAAGATGCTTTATGCTTGTTTGATTATATTTTTCCTATATTATATATTTTTTTTTTTCGGGTTTCGATTCCGATCACTTCTGGTTGCTCGTTTTCAACAACCATCAGCCGGCCAGTCGTCGAGGGTTCACGATAGTGATAGATACGGACGACGGCAACTGCCGAAAACAGAATCCAGTGTCTCTCTGAAAGAAGTCGACATCAACGACAACGTCAACAACGAAGATGAAGACGTACGCACCGGCGACGGCGGCGACGGCGGCGACGGCGGCGACGGCGGCGGTGGCAACGATGATGACGATGATGATGAGCAGGAATTGAAACGTTTCTCGAAGGAGGAAGGAGGGAAAAATTTCCATTGTCATCGTAGTTAATCTATATTCATCGAACATGGATGAGACTAAAGGATGCTCTTAGAGAAGCTGAGATTCTTTTTTTTAGTTTATGCATATCTTGGCTTGATTGTCCCCCTCTCGGAGATGAATCGGTGAAAAAAAAAGATTCTATCGAAAAGCGGACGGGAGCCATTGTCATTGAGTCGAAATTGTGGGACATTAACATTCAATTGATGAGTAAGTGCTTTTTGATGGATGGATGGAACTGGAATTCTCAAGCCGTTGTTGTTGGAAGAAGTCTAAAAATAGCTCAATTTTTGATGTGGCAGCGCTGTCAGGTTGATGTCATTTCGACGGTGTGGTGGAGCGATGGATGATCAACGATTTCACAAAGAGCGGAGATCTGGTTCATGTCGCTAAACGAGGCGGCACTTCACTTGAGATAGTGGCAAATGGAAAACCGCCAGCCAACCAGCCGGAGATCGAATTGGACAGGTTATTTTTACTCACTCCGTCACGCGGCTGCTGGTTTGGTTTGAGTCACCGATCGTCCCCAGCAAACTGGAGTGAGTTGGACATCAGAAAGCGCGTGACGGATTTCCAACGGCCACTTGAGTTTTATGGACCCCTCGTTCCCCGCCACTAGCGTTTTCCTTGACTCGAATACAAAGAGCAAAATCGATAGAGTCGCTCGGTTCCCTTCGCGCTCCGGTTGAGTGTTTTAAGTCTTTTATCTCGTAAAGTCATAATTTTCCTTCAAACAACGAACGCAATCGCCTGCTCCGAAGGAAGATGACGGGATTGTATGTGGAAAATGTGGGCCAATTGCTCGGTCGGTCGGTCGGCTCGGGTGAAGCAATGAATGTTCCGGAGATATCGAGACGCGAGATGATGAATTAATCGCTTCAGCTTTGAGACAGTTTAATGCCTTTTCGCTAAGGCATGTGGCTTTTCCAGTCAGTGGAACGACCGCGAGAGCGCCATTTCAAAATCTGAGCCGAAGAACATCGAGAACGGGGACGGGGACGTCTTTCGATTATTATTGGAGTGGTTTTGGGGGGTATTTTTAGCATTTGACACCGAAGTGGATGCGCGCCCGATTGGTGGGTGGGTGACGAAAGTGCGGGCGGGAAAATGCGTTTCGAAACATGGAGATTTAGAGCACTGCCCAGTCATGAAACATACCGTAAGGGGAATGGAATCCGCTGCCCCCGACATGATCGGAATTTAAATCAGAATCTTTGTGTTCATGACAAATGCAGCATTGCTGCTGAAATTCTTCTTCAAAATCGATCCCTGAATGGTACATATCAGGTTAATTCAGTGTGCCTCTTTCGTCTAATGACCACCGGTCCCATGGGAACCCATCACATACCGCTTCTGCTTCATCGTGATCGACCGTGACCGTGACAATGGCTTCGAATTGGACCAGCCACAAGAAAGCTTGGTTAAATATTTGATTAACAGTCCTAAATTTGTGCTCGGATCTTTACGAACGCTTCTTCACCTGATATACATATCCAAATGGAACGCGCGAACAAATCATCGTCAATTTTTCATGCTCCCGACCCAGAGCACCCGGACTGGAAATCGAGTCAGGTTTTCTCCCATGGACCGACACGGCCAGCCACACAATCGAACCGGGCCGCTCGATCACTTCCCATCGGCCGTCGATCGTCGGTCAATTCTTTCGGATCTCCAGAGCCATCAAACCTAGAAAACCCACCACCCGATTCGATGCGACCAATTCAATCCGAATTCGACCCCCTTCACCCGCGCCCCACCCGATGGGATCAAGTCCAATATTTCTCCCAACAATATGTGTAATTAATTGATTTCGTATTTGATTTATACTGGCCTATTATGACCGTTTTTGATTTGACGGTGATTAACTGCTCTTCGCTGGACGGACCGGGGAACGAAATTGCCGGGATCCAGACGAAGGCAGAGAAGAAGCAGAAGCAGAAGGCGAACCACCAAAAACCAACAAAACAACCTGCTGAAGCAAGAATGGCGATCGCGATTGTGGTGCTTGGTGGTGGTGATGATTGTAACAACATTCGATCCGCGGTCCGTTTGGAAGCGATGGCAACATCCCTCGTCTCCAATGGAATGGTCAATGAAGTGGTCCTACCGTTTGTTGGAAGATGCCCCCGCACCATCACCCGAGCAAGCAAGCGTGCGAGTGAACCGAGGATGATACCGGAAGATTTTGCGCAGAGTCATCGACACACACACGGAGCGAGAACCTTGTAAACTAGTGGCTGAGGCCGGAGCAGCTCGCGCGATCGATGGTGATATGAAATTGAGCTGCCGAATTAAATAATTGTTACGCAGCTCTGCCAGAACACATAATGGGCCTTGAGCGATGAGTTCAACATTTGATTTCGATGATTTTTCTGAAACTGATCAACAGCGTGACTCTAGGAAATGGCTAATGCGGTGACTATGTACGACCGGGTGCTGGAGTTTATTAAGTCAGCAACGTAAAATCATTATTTGTCAGACTAAGCGTTCAAGTTTCGACTCTCTAGGTTCGATTGAATTTCAACGTCGTGTTCTAGAGTTTCATTTAATGGATGTTTGTAAGGTTATGTCGGCTCCTGATTCAGTTGCTTTCAGATTATCAGAAGACAGTGGTCTTTCTATTATTTTTTCAATCATTGTTTTAGCATTAACACTGAAAGATTTGATATTACACACTTAGAAATTATTACCAAATTCGATAAATTTTAACCGATCTTTCAACAGCTGAACGTTTGGTAAAGCTTTGACCCTCATTTCAAAAGCTATTTTACTGAATTTACGGAACTAATTTCTAATTGTGCATCCTTTAAACTATGGAATGTTTACCTTGAGAACACCTTAATGAAAAACAATATCAGTGATTTTGATTCATCCAATCGGTTCTTTTCTATCAAAGGAATTTGCAATAACCCTTTTATTTAGCTCTTTGTTAGCATGGATCACAGTTTCTACCATTCTTAAGGGCTAAACACAATTACAGTGGCATTGCTGTCCCGCTGCCGCTTTGCCGCATTTAAATCCACATTATTGGATCCAGTGAATTTGGCAAACTCCTGCTATCAGGCACGTTGGGGCTACCACCTCCTACCAACTTGTCAAACAGCATCATTGAGCAGCCCCATTTCATAGTTGGATACAGTGCTGCAATATTTCGACAATCCAAACCGACTATCAAAAATGGAAACATTTCAATCACCTGCTTACCTTGTTTTCTTCACAATGATTCTTGACAGCATCGCATCTGACATTTGTAAATATGTATCTCTTTTACAAGACCATACATAAATCTCATACGTTTCTCTCACTCACTACTGTTGCATCTCAGTTTTTCCTTTCTCATTTTGTCACTGACATAATTATGCTTTGAAACTCATTTTCATCATTGTCAATTTCGTTGCCTTGTTTTGTCATTTGTTGGTCATTGACTAAACCCTACTCAAGGAATCGAAGTGATAAAAAAATGGATGTACCAACAACGTCTACTGGAAAATCGCGGAAGCGCAAAGTAGACAAACCCTCGTTGACTGATATTGCTGCCAAGTTCATAGTTCGAGACAACAAGGCCATTTGCCGAATCGATGTAGACAGTAGGTGTAATTACACCCAAAACACATTCGATATTGGTAATTTTATCAGACACTTTCGAGCCCGACACTCCGAGGTGGCTAAAACAAAACATCTATTCCCGGACCCGGCAAGCACCGTCAGGAAGCCTCGGAACGTATCAAAACGACCATTTCCTATCGACAAGCAGCTGTATGTTGATTCTGCAGTTAAGCTGGTTACTTACCATAACCTACCGCTTAGTTGTTTCGAGTGGGAAGGTTTGAAACAGTTATTCGATCCTATCGGGTCAGCGTTGGGTATTACATTGAACCGGACAAACATAAAGGATCACCTGAAAAGTGTTGCGGACAAAATTCGACTCTTCTTGACTGAGGAAATGCGAGGAAGATTGATTTGTCTAAAGGTTGATTCCACCTCAAGGTTCAATCGAAAGGTTTTGGGGATAAATTCGCAGTATGAAGTGGACGGGAAGGTTGTCATCCGCACTCTCGGTACGTATAAATTAAAAAAAAGAGTGTTTAAAATTCGTATTTATCATCTGTTCTTTTCTTCATAATCAGGTATGCTGGAAGTTAATCAACGACAGACGGCGAAAATGCTGAAGGGAAAGATTCTGGAGGTCATAAGCAGTTACGGGTTAACCCTTGACCAAATATTTGCAATAACCGTGGATAACGGAGCGAATATGGTTTCAGCGGTTAAGGAACTGAAAAAGGAGTTGGAGAAAATTTTTATATCTGGTGAGACCGAAGATGATGAGGACCATTATGCGACCGAGCAAAAGCTGACTCATGACCTATCAGAGGAATTCCAAAACCAGATAAATCTAGTCAGATGTGCAGCCCATACATTGCAGCTCGCCATACATGATGTTGTGAACAAATCGGACAAGAACGTGAAAGAAATTACTGAGATCGCTAAGCGCTGCAAGAACATCAAATATAAAATCTTTTTTGAATTTCACGGTGCCGCATTTCCACCCATCTGGAGTCAAACTCGTTGGGCTGGAATCTATAAAATGATTGACAGCATTAAAAATCAAGAAATTTTCTTCAAAAACTTGGCTGAAGAGTTCCCTGAGTTGGGTAGGATTCCTTAAATGTATTAGATAACCAGAAACTGAATTTTTTTATTTATATTATTACAGATCTCTCAAATAATTGGACATTCATCAACGATTACCACGCGGCTTTTGGGCCTCTGTACGTTTGCACAAAAGACTTGCAAGCTGCTCATATGTCGCTGTCGGAATTTTATATCCGATGGCTAAAGGTCATTATTGATATAAAAAGACAAATCTCGAACCCATTCATACACGAATTAACACAATCGTTGACTAAAAGGTTTACCGGATTAAGAGAATCTCGAGCATTTAAAATGTCTCTTTATCTCGATCCCAGATTTACATACCTCAGCAGCAAAATATTTAATGCCGAGGAGAAGGATCAAATACAGGTAATAACTTCATGTTTAACACAATACAACTTAATTCTGATTCACCTATTCATTTAACGCTTTTATGTTTGAATTTATCATAACTGAATTGATTGTACTGTCTTTCTTTTTGTTAAGAATAATTTATTTTCGTCTTACAGGGATACATTCTGGATACTTGGTCAAGAATCTGCCAACTGAATCAACCCGAGCCGATCGAGAAATCGATCGAACAGGTGATGAACACAAGTCACGAATTTGATGATTTCCTGACCGAAATGTCTGGTGGCTCAGCGCCTAATAATGACACGGAGAACAGGTCGTTCATTCAACAACTGAAGGCGTTGGATTCCGAGCCTCGACAGTCTCACGATTACAATGTCTGGCAACACTGGCTAGAACGTAAAAACACACATCCAGAGCTTTACGGTGTAGCAATGGTGGTCCTCTCAACTCATTCTACACAAGTCTCGGTTGAGAGAAGTTTCAGCGCTCTTGCCCTTGTTCTTTCTGACCGTCGAGTATCACTTGGAGAAGGGACACTAGATAACACCTTGCTTATCAAACTCAATAAGGAACTACTCGAGCGAGCGATGGTTGTTTTATATGGCTGCAAGGATTACCCGTCGGTGACCGTTGCACCTATTATTTGAACAATCTTACCTATTCGAAATTCTTCCATTGAATCTTCCTTTTGAATATTACTTTCTATTTCAAAAACAAAAATTTAATCAACTGAACGATTAATTTCAAGAAAACAATTTCCAAACAGATCTCAACATAATATTTAACTTTTTAGAAACTGAGAGTAAGGGTTCATCACTTTGAGTTCAATCCTTTCAAAGCTTTTCTTTCCTGACTAGGAGTGAGTGTAGCATTTCTTCGTCATATGTAACTCATTTCTGTCATGCGCCTCGCAAATAATGAAGGCAAACAACTACATTGTACATATCTGCATCAAATTCCTCGCTTATGAGCTAAATTACGATTGATGTAAATTCTGGCAAGCAGTTAAACTCACAATTTAAGAGAGGTGTGCCAAAAGTAAAGCTCATGACGACGAATAAGTGCCACACCCTTTTACTCAGGATTTATTCTCAATAGATTGGACATGAAATCGTAGGTTCATATGTATGTTTTTTGTATTACAATATAGTGAATGATGAACAATGAATCAAATTAATATTACAACAAGGAACAACTTTCTCATGCAGGCGTTTCAAACTGTACTAAAATGCATCTTCCATGAAATGTATCAACATGTGTGTAGACACAACTACTTTCACTACTAGCTAGGATGAGCTATGTCCTATGTATGATCTTTTTATTGTTTTGTCATGAGCCAAATGTAAATACTAACATCAAACGTTTATTTCTCACCAATCACAAGACACCCACGCAATCCAACTACACTTTATGATAGGGCAAGCGTCCTCTCCCAGATGCTGCTGTTGGATTGCGGTTTGCTCATTGGTTGGTGTTTTGTGATTTGTGAAAAATCGACGTTTAAGTCATTGTTCACACTTGACTTAATGACCCTTTTCACTTGTTTGTCGAGAATGGTAATCCGGTTTGGTTTTCCCCTGATTTGCACAGCTCACGAATATGGTCACATGGTAGATGCATGCAGATGATAGAAGAAACTGCAACTGTAAATAAAAGGAAAATATGTATAAGGGTACAATTCAAGCAGAATATTTCCAGGTTTATGCTTTCTTAGGAAAGATCTGATACATAATTTCCACACAAACTTCCAATTTGCGTACTTCCTCGCAAATCACGATTCACAGTGCCTTCTCAAGCCATCCCCCGAGGTGACATTTTTTGTGGTGGTTGGTAACGATGTGAAGGTAGAAGGGCTAAATTCGCCGTACATTTCGTCGTCCAGCGAGGAGGACGAAGGTGTCTGGAATCCAACCGTGTCTCCAGCTGAAGCACAGGTTTGAATGTCGTTCGGTATGTACTCGGACGTCAAATGTCGATTGTTAAATTATTACATGGATTATTCTATGAATAATGATGGCCTTTGGAACAAGAAAGACGTTTGAGGAATGTGGATTAGTTGCTCATTCGAATTCTTACTTACATTGAAATTACGTCCGGTTCGGTTTTCCTTATTATTTCGTGGAAAATTGTATAATGGAGGTGTACCCTACCAGATGGTTACCGACATTATTTAGACTCGGCCGAATAACAGCGTTGAATTACAAGAGCTGGCCGGGTTTCCCGCAGTAGAACCAGGACATGTCCGCTGTGTTGAACGGGACTCCGCTTGGCGTTGATGTTATTTGCGATGGGCATGAACTCTGTCGGACTTAAATAATATATAACCGGCACCGGAAAAAAAATCACTTTATTCATCAGCGTTCGAAAAAATTCCTTGCCTGCTAGATGATTTGTAACACACACTGTTGACGCAGTTGCTTATCAACGCTGAACACTGTTGCCTTTTCATTGGAATATTTCGTATTTTTTCGTTCAATGTTTACTGTTTCTTATTGATGTTTATACCTTACACGCTATTTCTAAACTACCCAAATTTGAGTAGCATCACCTCATATCCGTCAAAAGTAGCGCTACCCAAAATTGAAGAAACAAAGTTGGACTGACAAGATGATGAATGGACAATATCGACCTGAATCCAAATGATGTTGTTAATTCTTCATATTGTCAGTTCCAACTTTGTTTACTCAACTTAGTATAGCCCTACTTTAGACGGATATGAGTAGATCCTTCTCAAATTTGGGTTGTTTATAAATAGCGTGTGCATGATAGTTTTATCATTTTTTAAACCTTCTTTTGGGTATAGATCAGTGCACGGTCCCTAACCTCACTTTTTGCTTCCTATCATTTTGTTTCTGAGTAAAAGAGACGGCAACGAATGGGAGTCAAAACAAACCACCCAAAACTGTCAAAATTTACGGGTGAGATTAGAGTGCGGCCAGTGCGGCAAATCTTCGTGAACTGATCAATAAAACAAATGAGTGCATGGGACGGCACAATCGTTGTTGTCGTATACCCGGTGTGCGAAAGAAAGAAACAAAATATTCATCACCAGTATCACCAACGAACACTCTTACCTACACACTTAGATTTTTTTGCCGAGATGGGCACCACCGAGCAGCTCGGCATTTTATTTTGCTGGAAATTCAGCAAAAAATATTTTTGTTAGCTGAGATCTCGGCAAAATTCCCGTTTGTTAGCTGAATCTCGGCAAGTTTTTCACTGAGAACCAGCAAAATAAAAAGCCGAGCTGCTCGGTGGTGCCCATCTCGGCGAAAAAATCTAAGTGTGTACGATTACCTAAAATTATCGGTATTTTTTACCGATAAAAATCGTTACTTTTTACTTTAAATATGCTATTTTTTACTATACATTAGGTAATTTTAAACGTTAATTATTGGTAATCCATGATTACCGATAATTTAGGCATGTGCACTTTCTTCGATTATCCGTAATTTTTACCGATATCTAGGTAATCTTTACCGACTTTAAGGTTTGTGCATCTTAGCGTGAAGATAACTGATGCCTGAGTCCAACGTTAAAACGAGTGTCAAACGCATATACAAAATCAATTAGTGAAAGATTTCAATATCGGTAACGAATGAGTTCTTTACGCTGGTAGAGCTTAGTCATTCACGACTGACGAAAACTGTTTTGTCAAAGATATTTTTGTCATTCTAAGATCGAGGGAAGTAGTGAGGTTTGATATGTGACAGTAAATGTTCGTCATTGTCGTTAATATTGAGGGTTTGAAATTGAGTTTTATCAGCACTGGTTGGATATGCTGCCTTCCCCCTCAGACAGTATCTAATGAATCCATTCCCAGGGAGAAATCTACCTCAAATTGAAGAAAATTTCAATAAAAGGCTTTCTATTGCTCGCTGCACAATTGAGAACACTTTGGGAATCACTGTCGCTTGGTGGAGGATTTTGAAGTCACCGTTGTTCATGTCACCAGAGTCGGCAGAAAACATTGTTAAGGCTGTAGTGGTGCTGCATAATTTTTTGAAAAATCACAGTGACCATCAGTACGCTCCGCCAAGATTCACGGATACAATCGACAATGTGGTTGATGGAGAATGGCGCTTATATGATGATCCTCTACAAAGTGTTTCAGCTGATTCAATTAGTCGAGGACATACCGTATCCGTGATAATGTTTGCACCATCCTACAAATAAGGTTTTATTAAATAAACTTCCCGTTTCACCTGTGCATACAATGCCTTGGTTTTCTTTGCATGCACGTAACCTATGGCTCATACCGTAGTAGGCTGTGTATTAAAGAAAACGGTTTACTTAGTTTGACAGTTGCACCATGACGAAATGGCAGCGTATTCGTGATTTGTCCCACGCGCAAATGTCGCAAAAAGACATTTCAATCGCCGTGGGAGTGTCTCGGTGGACCGTCAAAAGCGTTTCAGACCGAGAAAAGAAAGGACAACTATCCGCGAAGGTGGCCCCAGGTCGTCCGAGGTCAGCTCGGGTTCCGAGGGTTATCGCTGCTATCAAAAGGAAGATTCGGGTGAATCCAGTGCGTTCAATAAGGAAAACGGTAAAGGAACACGGGATCAGTGACTTTACGGCACGGAAGATCGTAAAGGAAGATTGCGGGGCGAAGTCGGAACCACGAAGAAAAAACTCACATGATTACCAACCGCATCCGGAAGCTACGAGTCGAACGATGCAAGAAAATCTTGAACTTCCTTAAGCGAAAAAATTCGGTAATCCTGTTCACCGACGAGAGCATGTTTACCGTTGATCCCGTATCAAATTCCAGAACCGACCGGTATATTAGTTCTCTTCCGGTAAAAGACGTGGCCGACGAGCACAATAACGTGTATCTGACCAGGCATCCTGCTAGCGTTATGGTGTTTGGATTGGTGGCTTCCGATGGCAAAAAAATGGGCCCGGTGTTCATTCCAGAAGGCGACAAGGTCAACACGGAGGTCTACATCGGGATTTTAAGTAAGTATGTTCTTCCGTGGATCAAAGAACAGTACGGTCCGAAGCCAAATGTTGTATTTCAACAAGATGGGGCTCCGTGCCACACCTTGAACCGCACTCAGAAGTGGTTGCAGGAACATCTTCCGTTCTGGGCGAAGGATATGTGGCCGCCATCCAGCCCCGATCTTAATCCGCTGGATTACTCAATTTGTCGCGTCATGTAGGGCAAGGCCTGTTCTAAACGCCACCTGAGTACAGCAAGCCTCAGACAAACATTGACCCGTACCAGGAGAGAAATTGATCCAGACTACATTATTAGAGCTTGCCGTGCATTCCGGAAGCGTGTGGAGGCCATAATTGCAGCAAGTGGAAACTCGATCAATGATGAACATAGTTTTAGACTCTGAAAAACATCCCCCCTTTGAATAAATTAAAAAACTCGAAAACGAAATTTTTGAGATTTTTTTTTAATTTTGTCGTTGCTCAATGGTGCAAACATTATCTCGCATACGGTAATGCTCCTCGGACTGCATTTGAAGTCCGCAATATTTTAGCGCAGTATGTATCGGAGAATTCTCGTTACAAGCTCATCGATTGATCAGTTATGTTAAACAAAATCATTTTGTAAAACAGCAAGAGGACAATGAAACCAAATTCTGAATATTTATGAGTACCTCAGAAAATATCCGCAAGCTTCAGGTGAACT